CGACGAGGCACTCAGGGATGAGCTCGACTTAGTCGAGGAAATCCGATCTGGTGCGGCCCTACGCGAAGCCACCCTAAAACAACGAGTGGCTCTGCGCCACAACGAAAAGGTCATTAAGCGCGAGTTCGAAATCGGCAGCCTGGTATTACGAAGGAACCAGAAAGACTCCCGCGAAGGGAAGCTGGCCGCGAACTGGGAAGGGCCTTATCGCGTCCACGGCACCACTGGTATCGGGGCGTACTACCTCGAGCGACTAGACGGAGAACCACTACCACGACCCTAGAACGCTGCTAAACTAAAGCAGTACTATAGTTAAAAAATCACCAAGACTGAGGACCCTCGGCTGTCGACTCCCGCGCCCAGTCAACAAGGAGAAACGTCTAAACCCGTAGAGAGGCCAAGGTACAGGCCCGACCTACGTCCAAACCGTATAACATCGTTCAACAAAGCAAGAACAAACGATGGTGCCCGACGTGGACACTTCTACCGAGCTCCACCGTCGAAGTACCGGTAGGGCAGAACACCCAGCTCGCGATGGGCAGTTCACGCCGCGGGCAAATAACCCCGACCGGGTCATATATCGACCAAGCGGCTTCGTTCCGCATGCCCGACGAATCTCGAAGAACGTCGGGCCATCTAAAAGGGTCAAAAAGGAGTCTCTCCCCTCGAGTTCACCACTCAGCGACTCTGGCCATCGAGAAGAGGCCGAGCACATACGCGAACAAAAGACTTAGGAAAATTTGCCAACAAAGTCACAACCATATACGGGCACGACTCGGGCCCATAACTTAGGCCAGTTTTTGCGCAAAAACGTAAAACACAGGCACGGGCAAACAATCAAAAAATTGAAATAAACATTCATTCAAAATGCCCGTAGGCAACAAAAGCAAATAGATGTAAAACCGACCAAGAAGGCCGGCAATGTTGAGGAAATACAAAGAACGGGCACGCAGGCCCAAAAAATGTAAACGGGCACGCAGGCCCAAAACAAACATCAACAAGGCGCGCAGGCCCCATCATTATCTCACAACTCAGCCTCCCCGGAGCTATCATCACCAACAACAGGAGAGTCGGGCGGAGGCACGACCTGACCATCAATGATCTGAGACATATGGCTCACCCCTTCAGTGTTCAGGCCGGGATTCAACAGGGAAAGCTGGCTGACCGCGGCTTCAAAACCGTCCGCCATAGCTCCGACACAGTCCCCCTCGAGAAGTTGGATACGAGCGACCAGCTCCGACTGACTCCTCAAAGAAGCTATATCCTCCGACTCGTCCTCGGCAGGGAGCATAGCGGCCTTTAAGTCCTCGATCTCTCTGGCGAGGCGCCCGTTGTCAATTTCCAGACGTTCCCGGTCCGCACGAAAAAGGTCTCTCTCCTCGGCCAGCTTCCCCGAGTTCTCTTTCTCCAGAGCCAGCAACCCTGTCTCCACTGCCAGCAGCTCGGCTTGCTCGCGGAACATCTCCTCGGAGCGCTCCAGAGCAGCCTTCAACTTTCGCGAATTCGAGGTGAGGGAAGCTTTCTCCTGTTCCAACTCTTTGATACGGTCGGCGTCCTCCCCCTCCTCGGCCAGCACAACGTCCATCTCGACCATCTTTACCATCCCGGTCATATTGGCGGCCAGGTGCCTTCTCCGGTTTTCCTTGCTCATCCGCCTGATAGTTTCTGCTTCATCAGCATTCAAGGACAAGGGAAACCCCTCGAAAAAACCCTCCTCTTTAAAGCAAGGGGGCAACCCGAAGGACCTCACGGTGCTGGAGTCCTCCCCGACCTTCGGTTGGCTTTCCACCCGATTCCTTTTCCTATGTATCAGGTCGGTGTGTGGCTCGACCTCCTGGACGTCCGGGATCCCTCCCGAAGCAGCTCCCGAGCTAGGTGGCGTGTCCACCCTCGTCGCCTGAGAAATGCCTGGACTATGTGGCGGGCCCATCCTCGTCGATTGAGGAGCTCTCACCACCCTCTTACTCACTTTCCTATCACAGGACAACTTCAAGAGCCTCTCCCTCCGTCCGGCCATCAGACCTGCATAAAAGAACCTCGGGTTAGTGACGAGCAAACAAGCAAACAAATAGCAAACAAAGAAATTCAAAACAAGACAATAACGACCTAGCAAATTCGCAGCCTTCCCGAAGGACTGGCACTCCACAAGTGCCTTCGTGTCAATCGGTCGGGCCTCGAAGGTCGGATAACCTTCCTTGTCCAGAATATCCTCCCCCTCCCTCGTGGCCCATCTGGCGGGGAAGAAACTGTCGACATACCGACAGAGGGTACCATAAGCCTTCTCGTCTTCGGAGCTCATCTCGCCCGCGGACGTGTGGTAGTACCCGGTGTCGTGCTCGTAATGCCTCGAGGTCCAATGCAAGGGGAATTTGGCCACGCGCCCTAACACCGGATGTCCCTCGTCGTCTAAAAGGGCTTCCCCGTGGTCGTCGGTTATGACTGTTTCCTCCTCATACACAGACTCTAAACCTGCTGTGGTAACTGGCCTCACGATATACCACTTGTCTTTGAAACCCCGCACGGAATCCATGTACATCCTGAAAAGTCTCTTCGACTGTTTCAGGGAAACCCAGCTATGCTTACCTCCCCGGGATTGGCGTTGTAGGTGGAAGACTCTGAAGAAGAGGGGTATGGTCGCCCCAATCCTTAGAAACCGACAAGTTAGCTCAAACGCCCGGATGAAAGCGAGCGAATTTGGGTGAAGCTGCGACGGGGCCAGCCCCAGATGGCTGAAGACCCCGACCTGAAAATCACTGAAGGGCAGTTGTAACCCAAGGTCCTTGAACGCAATTTCGTACATGGGGAATCCATACTCGGGGAACTCCGAGCAGATTCGGGCTGTGAAAGTTGGTCGAGTGACGACGAAGTTCTTCTGGAAACTGGGCTGGCTACTGCCCGCCTCGAGAATGGTATACGCCCTTCGACTACGTCGACTATAGGCCGAAGCTATCCCTCTGGGCTCGGCACCCACCCATTCCAGCAAAGGGTCATCTATGGTGTCAACCAAATTCACGTTTTCGTCAGCACTTTGTTCTTCCACCTCGGTGCGCCCTGAAGAACACGGTTCGTCCGCCATGGTTACCTACAAAGCACGGGAAACCAATCAATTGGGAGCGAAACCACACGCTCGCCATAACGGACGAGGTGAAGGGCACGACAAACCACGTCGCTCTACGCGCGACCACAAAGTTGGTGTTTCGGAACCAAAAATAGCAGTCACCTCCCCGACTCCCAGTCACCATGACAAGCTACGGTTCGCCTGAATAGGCCGACATCTCGACCACTCTCGAATGTGTCGACCCAAGCTACGAACGTGGCGAGCGACGTCATGGGTCTCAAAGCTAGATCCATGAGTCCACCGAGCACCACCAAGAACTAGGCGCCCCGAATCATAAAGATCCAGGGCAGCACTGCTGGTTAACACCTAAACTATGCATTGGCCGGACGTAACCATATGTTCGCCGGGCATAAACTTGGAATTATCGAGCTAAACATAAATCTACCGGGCTAATTCCAGGCTTACAGTCTCTAAAACGTCTGAAAACAATGAAAATCATGCATCACAGAGGAAAAACGCAGGAGACAAGACACTTACTTGGAATCAGGAAGGTAATGTGACGACGGAGAAAGGAAATCAGCAACGGAGATCACGGCGGTCCTATGAGTATCTGGGAAGAACAGCAACGGCAGAAACAGAGTGAAGAGGAGAAGCGCGAACAGGGAAAACACGTTCTGGGGCCCAAACACCCTATTTATAGTGATGACGTGGAATACCAAACGTCACCCCGGGGAACCACATAATTTCCCTCCTCGACGTGTAGCTCCCCTAGGCAATGATGACCCTATCGTCCGTAGGGTGGCGGCACGGTGCCCAAGAGATGCCTCATGTGCCCAACGGACGCACCCATCGAGTCTCCCCGAGCGCTCCTCGCACGGTGTCATCTCGTATGTCCGACACGGGGAAATCCCCTCGAGCAAGCCGCGGGAATGACACATTCTAGCCGGTAACGGGACCCCGTGACGCAGGCGACCTAAGATCAAGTCATGGCTCCCACCACAGGAACCACGACTTGGGGGGCTCCTGTTCTGGACTGGGCCGGGCTGGCCCAAAAGCAATGGTGAAGGCCCAACCCAAACGGTCTTGCGAGGGGTCACGACGACCAAAAGGCCATGTCCGTGCCCGGTATTCGCTGCTAGTACGACGTCCTCGACTCTATGCTATCCTGCTCGACCCCAGCTCGAGCACTCCCCCTGGGACAGACTCTATCCACTACGCCGTCACCTAGATCCCGAAAAGACCGCGTCCTCGTCCGTCCGTACTTCACGCAGGACATCTAGGAAGGGGACCACGTGCGGGTCCCCACTACACACGTAGAACCTGGCAGTTCCTCCATTGGGCCAAACCTGCCCGGCCCAATGAAGGAACCTTGGCCCAGCGCTGGGGGCTATAAATACCCTCTGTTCCCAGAGGGTCAGGTATTCATTCTTTTACCCATACTCATACTCTTGCTTGCTCGTGCTCTTACTTACTTCAGCATCGGAGTGCCTTGCAGATACCCCCTCCATCTCGTTCAAAACTTCAGCTCGGAGTCAGCCGTGACGGTCCAAGTCTGATCAGATAAGATCATAATATATTGTCATTTAAAAAACAGTTGTGTTGGAAGAAGTCTAATAATCTTTCAAATATTTTGACAAATACACAAGTTAGCGTGTGTCTCCGACTGTTTTTCAATTGTCTTTCTTATTGTATAAGGTTTATTTTAGTTTAATTAGTTTACTGTTGTTTTATAATATATTATTAATATTTAAATTTATCCAAATTTCAGTTTCTATATTAATTATAATGGTATGTTTTAAATTTAATTTGTAAAAAATTTGTAATAAAAAATCATACCAAAATTGATAGTAATTGTCAAAGTTTCCGAATCATGACAATATATTTATGGAAATCCTATTTAAAAAGATTTAACTAGTAACTATATTATTTTGTTTTATATCTTTTATATCCACTTGCTATCCACCGAAAGATTCGCATCAACCCAATCCTCCAGATTCAAACTAAAAAAAACCTGCTGCAGAAGGGGAGGGACATGCTGGCACCAAACTTCCATCGCTTTGGTGCAGTCCCGAATAAGATGAATATCAGTTTCCGCCACACCCCCACAAATATCACACGCCGCACTTCCTAGCCCACGGATACTCCGCTGAAAATTTGTCCACATTCTCCCATGTGCAAGCAGGCAAACAAAACTTTTGACCCGCTGCTGCACTTGGAGCTTCCAAATCCGCTTCCACCTAACAACTTCGACTGCATCATCGACACGCACCAGCTCAGTATAGACATCCTTGACTGAGTACCAAGTTTCGCTGGTGCCTTCGATAAAGAACTCATCCTGTCACTTTGTTTTTATTAAAGAAATAATTTATGTATATCACAATTAGCACTTATTTAATCAGTGGTTAGTTATTGTCAAAAAAACCGTTCAATGAAGTTGTTTAATTTTCAACTAAGCACTTGGGCTCAAGTGATAAGGGAGTTTCTGCTCAGGACGCAAATTGGGAAATATGGAATTTGATTTATAGATGGGAATAATGTTGGGCCAGTGCCCATACTTTTTAGCATGAACTTTGAATTATTAGGACCTTATTCTTTTAAGAATCAAAATGCGAAAGTAAAAAATAAAAAAAAATTATTTAATTTTCAAGTGCTTACGATCAAATTTTCATTAATTTATTATTCTCTCGATTCTTTTTTTAAGTGTGATTTAGAAGAATTTTTTTTATTTTATTTAAATATCGTTTTTATAGTTTAGTATTATAATTTATCAATTTTTTTTTCAATAATTCCACTTCATATTTTTCATAATTATTTTTTCAATTTTATTGAAAAAAGAGAGCGTGTGATTGAATTTATTTAAAAAGAAAAAATAAATGATAGTACAATAAAAAAATAACTTTAACAATTTACTATATTAATAGAAGAGTTTTATTCTAAAATAACACTTAAAAAAAACAGAGAGTATTACAATTTAATCTCTTGTACATTTGATCACTTATACCATTCCTAATGGTTGATATATAAATTTAATGTTTTCATAAGTTTTTTTAAGAGAGATTATACCAAAATGGTTTTTATTTGATATTAAAATAGTTTTTGCTTAAACGTTTGCATAGTAACTAGCACTTATTCAGGAGTAACAGCTTAAGTAAGCTGTATGTCCAACCAAATTACAAGTTTCATTATGAAAGTGCGTATAGAAATCGATCTTCATTAACCTTTTTTGTAATTCAGAAAAACCAAAATTATGACAAACTAAAGAGCTGGCTTACGAAAAACTTAAAGCATAATTCAGCTATCATCTTTAGTTTGTTGTAATTGCAAATGGGTGTCCAGATGAATACTTGCACTGCACGCCTACTAATCAATAAGTAAATTTTGAACACCGACACACTACTTTTTTTACAATAAACAACACAGTTTTATTTACGATGTTTTGACCACATCAAAAGTAATTCTTTAATGTGTGCTTGCCCAATTACATATACATTACATTCATAACTGATCATTCTCATGTCAATGCTCTGCAAATAATGACAAACATGCAACTTCGTAAGAAGCTGGAAAAGTCCACCCGATATAAATCCAGGGACAAGAATCAATTTGTGGCCAAGTCGCCTAAATGGAAATGAAAACAGGATGAAGCCCGTGTAAATGGCATTACAACAGAAGAGAATGACCTAAAAAAATTGTTATATACAAAATTGTCACAATAAGTGTCATTGGATATCTAAGGAGATTTTGTTTTTTTTTGTAATGAATCTAGTAAAATCTTTACTTAGAAGGATGACAACAAGATGAAACACTGATCAACAAGTTCATCATTTGTTGACTTGCTATCTCTACCTCACTGATCTACAGACTTCTGAGATGAACCTTGTATCTACAAATTTGTACGAGGGGTATGTAACATAAGGAGTGATCATGCGTATCCAATTCCACCTCCATCCCTTTCTCTGTCTTTCTTCGGTGTTTCCTCAGAGACTAGAGGAAATGAAAATTTAAGCCAGATCGAAGAAACATACATTTTACTAAAAGAAATCATCAAACGAACCTTCTTTTTCACTTTCAGATCCTGAAAATGCAACCATAAGAATAAGGAAAAATGATATCGCATTATTGCCTTTCGCATCTTATTTTCTTCTCGGTGAATATCATAAGGGCAATCAGTAAATCACATTATAGTTAATCATCACAAGAATATACATAAGTTAATCCAAAATTCAAGCTACATTTTTACTTTTAGCTTTTATGGCCATCGGTAAATCACATAATCACACATGCATATATCGGTGCTATTATATGAAGCAATTAAATCATATTTTCACTACCTTATCTGTGATATCTGTGATAGTAAGCTCCATACTAAATGCTGCAAAGGTCTCAAAAGAGTACTTCTATTCTTATTCAGAAACTGCCATTTATAATACACATGACATGATCTTTAAATTAGGTTTCTTTACGCTTCTGACAAACTATTTCCTCCTCAAGCAGAAAATAAGTTCAATAGATAACTAGCACAATGACATTTGTGAAGAAATTTAGACTGACCTGATTCTTCACCGGCAGTGATATCCTGAACTACTAGTTGAAAAGAGTTTGAGTCGGCAGAAGAGACTGGTTCTGGATTTGAAATGGGGGCAGGAAATGTGAAATCAGAGTCTGTAGATGAAGTATCAGAGTTACTGGAAGCAACATCAACTCTAGCAATAGGCCGAAAAGTTGAACTCAACCTTGATGAAGTACTTAAGATCGTCTTCAGCTCGGCAACTTGACTTGACATGGAAGATATCATCCTGATACACACTAAATCAGATCTAGCATTAATCAAATAGCATTCAGTTTTAAAAGTCATAATTTAAATCGGGTAGCGTCCCTAAAAGGCCAACAAAGTAAAAAAATAAAAATCCATTGATTGTAACGACGGATAAACACAACAATTATTTCCCTGTCATATTATTTCGTTGATTCATACACGAGCTTAAAAACACACACACAGACCGCACACACAATTATTATAGTCCCGCTCCACTCCTATTATGCAATCCATTTTCCTCTTAGTGTCATTGTTATATGAATTAACCAGCATTGTTGAATCTTGCAATTGGAAAATTAAAATTTTAAGATTATATGCATCCTCAAGGGAATAATACTAATACTACCTGTTCAATGAATCCTGAAGCTGATATACTCTTTTTTCGGTTTCGGCTAACTTTTTGCGTAACTCTTCGCTAGATCCTTGAGCTTCTACATATTTCCTTTCATATTCATCAGATTTTTGTTTTTCTTCCTTCAACATGACCTGTGAAATGCAACATGAGATAACACTTGGTAAGCATGAATTGTACAACTAAAAACATATGTCAAACCTATAATAAATATAGCTTATCAAATTACATATAACAATGGTAACCATGTGATCAGTAAATGATGTTTTGAATAACACTTTCATCCTTGATTCTATTCTATAAAGAACTCTGTTCGTCTTTATAGGTCTAGGGCTTACATCACACATTCTTTGATTCTAAACTACATACACTAACTATCAAGGATAGATATATAAGTTCTTGGTTTTACTGCTCTCTGCATTTACATGCATGCATGCATATCATCTTTAACTAACCTAAAACTTTGTTTTCATTTACCATCAAACTAAATATATTAAACTATTTTCATCTCGCCTCTATGATTTATAGAAGAATTCAAGAACAAAAACATTATTGTACTTTACTTCTTTATATAGAAATTTTCATGTAAGTAAACAACAGTTACTATTTTATACTAGAACACTATGAATTCACTATTTTACGAATATATCTAAAAGGATCAAAGAGAAATGTGAAGAATAATGACAGAGGTTTAGAACTAGAGATTCCCTTAAATTTCGAAGATTTGAGAACGTTATTGAAACTATAGAGATTAAGGTCGAAAAGAGGCAAAAGATAAAACAAAACCCAAGTGATAAGGTATATTAATAATATATGATGTATAATCACATCCTACTAAAGGTAAAGCACAAATAAATATTCATACAATAGTGGATCCTAATCCTAGTTAATATAGAAACAAATCAAAAAAATTAATTAAATGTGGAACCACTCTTAAGAGATGATCTTAGATGCTCTAAAATATTCTGTGCTCTGAAAAACCTAAAGGCGATAATGATATTTTGAGATATTTTAACACTGCCCTCAAAATAAAGCCTACTAAGATGCTAGATCATCAGAGGCAGTAGACTACGCCAGACTGTAACTAGGACTAGAGACAGAGGCCAAACAGCATCTGTGAAATACACAGGGCAAGGGCGTACGGGATTGGAGACGGCGGGGCCAGACAGAATGATCATCCACAGGAAGAAAAGTCAGTCATAACTGGTAAGATTGTAAGTGGGCTACCGAACTGATTGTCAGCCAGAAAAGTGGTAACCTTACCCTTCTTGGTCTCTTTCTCAAAGTCGTGCTGGAAATGGAAAGCTAAAAATAGTACCAAAAAGATAAGAGAACAAACAGACGGTGGTGGGAAGAATAGAATCATGAAGATAATGGAATGACATTGTTACAAATTACAATAGAGTTCAACATTTTAGTGAACTCAACAATGGAATGATTAAAAAACAAGTCAGAGAGGATGGTGTGATTTTGATATCAAGTTGAAGCTAGAAAGGAGCAAAACAGAATAGAAGATAATAAAGTCCGTGTAAGGTGGAATGATGTGTTAAAAAAAGAAAAAGAATTAAATCTTATTTATACTAATGTTAGACTCCTAATCCTAATTAAATAAGGGGAAAACACATTCCAACAAAGGTAATATATAAACTACGTTTACCTTTAAATTTTTTATTTCTGCAGAAAGAACCTCAATCTTTTCAGTGTCTCTGAGGGAACTAGATAAATCAGTAATAGCTTCATTGCTTTCAGTGTCTCTGAGAGGACTAGATAAATCCCTAATAGCATCGTTGCTTTCAGTGTCTCTGAGGGGACTAGATAAATCCCTAATAGCTTCATTGCTTTCAGTGTCTCGGAGGGGACTAGAGATATCGATACTAGCTTCATTGCTTTCAGAATCTTTGAGGGGATTAGAGAAAACCCTGATAGCTTCATTGCTTTCAGAATCTTTGAGGGGATTAGAGAAAACCCTGATAGCTTCAATGCTTTCATTATCTTGGAAAGAACTTGAGGATTCTTCATGTAATAAATTTGAAGATTTTTCCACGGAAGGACTTTCATTTTCCGGTGATATCTCCGCAATCTAGCAATTTATGATAACAAACCATTTCATTTAATTATGTCAGCAGCACGGTCATCAAAGACAATTACGCTAAAAGAGGGTTCTCTAGGTATTTATAAACTCATTATTGTCAGCGTCGTTTACAGACTAACGACAATCACAATCCTAATAATGTTTCTTTCTTAGCAAAAAGGAAGTAGTCTACCAAAGTTTTAACATATTCCCCTATTACAAAGCTTACTAGTTTCTAGTAATAGTTATCAAGACAAGAAATTTAAGAAAAGCAAAGACAGGAGTTTAACAAGACTAAATATTATACAGAACCTTCTGTTCACATTCATCGCTGGAGTGATTGACACTACGTGAAATGACTGACGCTTTCTTTAGGTTCTGATAGTCAATGAGAGCTTTATGTCGCCGCCAATAGGACTGCATTTTTTCATTCCTAAAACTTCAGGCAACATAAATATTTTGGAAAAACATGTTTACATTACAATGACAGATCTAACCTGGATAATAGTTGATGCCCCAGTTTGCTTTCTATATCTCAATTTATCACGAGCATGTCGAGCAGCCATAGCCCGAAAACCTGTCTGTAAGACAATGGCAGAAATCCTTAATTCAAAGTAGCATTTTCTGGCAAATCTTCCACGTGATTTGGTTTGAATTTTGATGGCAGCTGCTTTCCTCTTCATGTGATAATATTGACTTCGTGCCAGTTCTCCTAAAAATCATAAAAATCAGGTATTTTAGGAACATATTGACTGGATGAATGCTTGTGGAATTATATATGTAAAACTTCTTAAATTTATGCTTCAGAGTCCCATTGAAGCTGTAGAGAGAGAAATGAAAAAGCATTTCCAAAAAAATGTTAGGGCGGACAAAACTATAAAAGTCCTTGTGATTTTATCATTTCAGTGACTCGGATATTACAAGCACCATAAGAAGAGTTGTAAAATACAAATAACTGACCTCTGCAAATAGATTGCACAAAGATAGAGGACTTTCGCAGTGTAATATATGTTTTCCGGCTAAAATAAGTTTTAGTCTGCTTTTGGATAATTGTTGCAGAATG